GGAGAGGATGTCGCCGTGCGTGGACTTGACCTTGTTCTTCTCCCGCATCATCCGCCAGAATCGGCTCTTCGCCACGACGAAATTCGGCGCGAAGACCTCAAATTTGAAGACGGTCGGGTCGGGTTTGGCCTCGCTCGGGGACTCCCGGCCGATCACCTGATAATGCCGAAGATGGGGCTTCACCATGGTTCGTGTGGTATTCAACTGCTCTTTCCTGTAGCCATTCAACAATAAACACGGGGGAAAACGAAGAGGGGGAGGGAGAAATACGTGAGTTGGGGGTTAAGGTCTACTTGACCATACACAAAGTAACAGAAAAGCATACATATAAATAGATAAATGAATAGAACGGTAGATTTTCTTGGTAATTAAGAACCCCTCTCCGTCGGTTTCGCTGGAGGGAAATCATTCACGAGGTTTGCCCGAGGGGTTTGAGCAGTCCGATGGGAAAATAAAAGTAAAACGAGTCATGACAGCAGGAAACCACGATACCACACATTATTTAAAGTATTTGATGTGGGTGTGTGGGTGGGTGTGTATGGCTCAGGCATCTGAAGTATTCCCAGCGGGGTGAAGAAAAAGCAGCAGGAGTAAATCCATAAACCTTTGATGATGGTTCACGGCCTCCTCGTCGTCCTCTGAATTGGCGTGTTCGTGGGTGGAGTCCGCGCTCTTTGCGCGGCGTTGGAAGGACCACTCGGGGAGGGCGCGTTTGCGTTTCGCGCGAATATAGCGGCGCCGCTTATCAGAGCTGCAATTATCGTTGGTGGTAGGTTCCCTCGAATGCCCGCGGTGCACGGAGCGGCTTGGGGAGTCGTCTTTGCCGTGGGTGGGGCTTTCGTGGTCAATCGTTGGCGAAAACGGGGTGCCGCCCGAAGATCCGGTTTCCTCCTCGATACTAGTGGAGGCACTGGAAAGAGGGCTCCCACGGGCGCCCTCGCATGGGTTGGCGAGCTGCTGAAGTCGATGGGCTACTTCTTTACAGCGCATGTACTGGGTGATATAAAGCGCTAAAGGTATAGCCAGAGCCGCGGCTAAACGTTGGACGATTGTTTTCCCTTCCGTTGGATCCGCTTCCGCCGCGAAACCGCAATGGGATGGGAAACATTTCGCGTTGGGTGGGTTGGAAAATTCGCTTCGTGGCTTTTTAAGGGGTCGAGCCCTGTTGGGGCCATTTTGGGCTTTGCTCTCAGCACCCTGGGTGGTTGGAGGCTGCGTCGGCAGCAGCGAACCGCCTCTGGAAAGCCACGCGGAGACCGAACGACAAAAAAGACCGTCAAACGAGTGCCAAAGCGATTCCGACGGATGGTCCTCGGCTTCTGCAGGGCGATGCCGAACTTCACAACCCGCGTGGACCCCCTCGGGATCGGTGTGGGCTGCGGTTTCCCGCGAGCCGGCGTGCCCGGCCCCGATCATCGCGCCCCAAAAGTCCTTGACGGCCCGGTAAACAAAGGCCGAGACCGAACAAAGGGCCGTCCAATCCACAAAAGGATTCCCTTCGGATCCCCCAGAACGATCGCCGGGCGCCTTTGGCGGTTCCTCGCCCGGGCGATCACCGCGGGAGGCGGAAAGCTGCCGGGCCATCCGGTCCGCCACCCCCAACGCCGTCCCAAACTGCACCCACGCGGGAAGTGCGCCGGGCATCGCGTTCGGCTCAGCCGCGCCCCCCCCCTTCGAATGACTTTTCAAAACGGAAAAGGCCCCTTCGATCCATTGGCGCGAGCCCCACCTCGCCCCTTCGCGGAGTTCGCCGTAGAGCAGGGTAAACCACTGGAGCCGATCGGCGTGCATCGCGCTCGGGGGCGCCGGGAAGGTCGGGGTGTTTTCCTCCGTGCGAGGCCCCAGGGCGCCAATGAGCGCGTGGTGGAGGAAATCCCCGATCTCGCCGCTCGAACCCATTTCAAACATCCCCCCAATTGAGATGGCGGCGTTCGGGCGATCGGAGGGGACCCCTCGGGCAGGGGAAAGCCGGCGCGAATGCGCTCGGGCGTCCCTCAAGTCGCCGTTTAAAACTGTTGGGGTTGGGAAGGAAAGGGCCCCCAGGCGCGAATCGCCGTCGACGATCTGCAAGGGCAACAAGGGCAGGTGCTCACACCACAGCACGTGCTCCTGCACGTCCTGACAGTGCGCGACGAAGCCGTCGGAGTCGTCAAAGACCCGTCCGCCATGCACGGCGGGGAATAAACACGCAAGCGCCTCCAAATCCGACCTCGCCAGCCCGGTCGGCGACGACAACGGCCCATTTATTTCGTGGATTTCGTCCGTTTGCGACATCGCTTCCGGGGTTGAACAGTTTGGGCCCGGAAAGGACATCGCGCGGGCGCTCTCACGCCGGAGCCGATCAGCCGCCCCGCAAGCGGCGGGCTCGGCCGAAAAAACCCCGCGGGGATGGTCCTTCGGGCCGCATTGAGGGGGGTGGAATCGACGAAAAAGGTGGGAGAGGCAGGACGCCGAGATGGGAGGCGCGAGCCGCACATCAACCCGCCCTTTCGCCGGTGGAATCGCGCCGTGTGGGCGGTGGAGCCCCGCATCGTCGGGGTTCGCCTCCTGCAAAGCGACCGCGGCAAACGCGGCCCCCCCCCATTCCCCTCCTCGTCGTTTTCGTTTACGGCGTTGGGGCCGTCCGCCTCGCCCGGAGCAGGCGCCAGGCTAAAATATGCGCGCGAGAACGCCACGAAAGGGCTGGAGGCGGGGCCGGTCCTCCCCGCCGCCTCCCACGGCATCACCCCCAGCGTCGCCTCTTCCCCAGCCGTCGGCCGACCGGGACGATCACGCCAGGGGCGTCTTTTCCCCCCCGATTCTTCTGTCTTTTCCATCCCACAAGGGGCCCGTGTAGTCCGCCCCCGCCCACCTTCCCGATGTCGGCCGGGCGCTTGTATTACCGGGATGACCTGACATCGCACGGCGAGGGGGCGATTCCCCGGGCGGGAGGCCGTCACCGCCACGACGGACGCCGTGGAAAGGACGGAGAAGAAACTCACGTTTGTTGGGAGGGCCTCGTGAGGGCAAAAAAGGCCCCATCCCCGCGAACGTTCCCCCCGAAGCGGAGTGTTCGATGGGGCCTCAGCACCGCGCGGGGAAGTCGACAAAGGCCGACCCGGCCCACCGCGGGTTGAAAGGCCGGGAGCCCCACCCCCGGCTAAAGGCGGAGAATTCGCCATTTCGTTTTTGCACGAGGTCAGGGTCGTGTCTTCGAAACAAAGCGTTTCGATGGAAATCCCTGGGATGGCGGCCTCATCTGAGGGACTTTGTCTGAGGGTGTTGGACAGGACAACACGCGGTATTTGAAGGCTTTCGCCAAGCTGCTTAAAGATGCTAGTACACTCCTCTGGATGCTTCATTCATCCGACAGCTAATTTTCATGAACTTTCTATTTGAACCTTTCCACTCTGGTGACCCCCCTCCTCCCCCCTCCGAAACACACCACTCCTAAAATATGTAAGTCGATTAAAAAAAAGTTCAAAAGTGGATTCAGTGTATAGATGAAAGCGGTGTTCGAAAAAAATCTCGGTTGGTGCGGTTTTATTTTTTGAATTTTATTCAGTGTTGAATATCATTCAAAATGATGACTAATTTTTGATACCCACTAACCCCTCAAAAGCATCCTGCCTTCTGACTATTTAAAGTCGAGTACATTGTTGTTATCCATTACTTTTCTTTCTTGACCCCAGTAGTATTAGAAGAAAATGAAAAATTGAATATCAAGCAAAGAAGGGAACACATTGAGATCTTTTTTATGACAAAAAGGATAATTCCTTTGAAAAAAACAAAGTGTAACAATTTTTTTGTTCTTTTCCCTAACTTAAGAGTAGCAGTAAGCAAAAGCTAATCCAAAGTCTCGAAAAAAAGGGAAGCACGAAGATAAACAAAAATCGACAGGAAAAATAATCACAATAATAAAGCAAAAGCAACTACCCTTCAAACCCACCATTTCCTTTAAGTTGATAGACAATTTTATATCTATAAATAGTGTAGATATAGATATAGATAGATATTATAGACCGAGTTGAGCTTCAGTGCTGTACGGATCCGTTTTCGTCTCCTGCTTGCCAGCGTCAACTGGTTTGTTTTCCGCTTCCGGGAGTTTTTGCGTGGGCATGGCGAGGGCCTCGGAGAGGTAATCCGCCTCGCTTCCCTTCACGGTATCAAAGTCGAGAGCCTCAAGCTCGCCCATCATCTCATCCTCGTCGATGTCCTCCGGGACCTCGTACGCACGCCCCATAATCTCCTGAATCTCCTGTGATTCGGCATACAAGTCCGTTAACTCCTCCTGCATGTCCTCAATCTTGTCGATATTCATCTTGGTGAGTTCCTTCTTCAGAGCTTTATTCGCATCCTTGAGGGCGGCGACCTGGATCCTCGTATCCTTCATCGACTCGGTGGTGAACTGCAGTTGATCGATGGAGAACTGCTGATTGAGGATTCCGTCTTGTTGACTTTGGTACTGCCGCTTTTGCTGGAGGATTTGAACCGCACGTTGTTTGAAGCGCTGCTGGGCCATCCCGCTGGAATTCTGGATTTGCTGCTTGAGCTTCATCAGCTCCCCGTCGAGCTTGGCAAGACGCGCGTCCACGGCATCACTGCGGGCCCCAATTCGGCTACTCACGTCCTCTAGCGTCGGTTTGGGCTCCTTGCTTTTCTTCCCGAAAAGACGGTTCATCGTAAGTTTCGCTCAAACTTTTTTCTATTTTTCTTTTTTTTAACCTTTTAATAAGGGAAATGCTCAGACTATAAAGAGACCGCTAGAGCGAATGAAAGTCACAATGCACCGAAAATTTTCTGAAGAACTTTTAATCTTGAATGACAAGATAGGCGATCCACTTTATTGATATGGTTTTACTAGGTACCAAACGGGAAAAGACGAGTTATCGAAAAGAAAAGATGACATGAAAAACATCGAGGTTTCACCTTGAGGAAGTGGTGTGCAAACATTAAGCAGGACATATAAATCGATTGTTGCAATCTCCAGACATCCACATTCAAGTTGTGGAATCACCTAAGCGCGGTTAAAAAAATGCTACTAAACTAAAATTATTGGACATAATATTTGAAAACTAGAAAAAAGTAACAACAAGAAATTTATATTTCCACTCATTCAACAATGGAATATCAATTGATTTCATATATATTACATAAGTTACACATTTATTTTCAGGACAGAATCAGAAGATTAAAGAAATATATTAATTTCCCTTCAGTCCTTTATCTTTTGATTAATGCAATTGAAATGACTTTCCACGTGAAATCACTAAATGATGAAAATAGTACTTTCTTAAGTATTACCCTATTTCTTAGATTCTCGTTTTAGAGCTCTTCTCCTCCTTCGCTTCCGAAGAGCGCCAAGAGTGTTAACATGATTTGGGAAACCAATTCCCCCACTTAATTGTTCGTGGGGCTAAAAAAAAAAATCTATAGCTGACAATAATTGTCATGCACCTCACTCGCAGTCGAGTTCTTCACGTTCAAGAATTGCAGCGCGAATGTACTCCCTCATGGCTTCCACTTCGGAGGCGACTGTGAAATGAAAATGCAAAGCGGCTGTTTCCTTCTCGGCCTGAGCCTGCAAAAACGCTTTTCCGCGCGGGAGGCCTGAGGAAAGATCTATGGAGCTACTCCGTGTTCCCGACCCATTGTCCCGGTTTTCCCACGGTGGCGGCCGTTTCCCCCCTGCACTCGACTCCGGACCGGTCATCCCGTTGGGGCTGAGGTAGAGGGGAATAAAAGACGGAATGGCAGGCCGAGCCGCGGCCTCTTTCTTGCCGCCCTCGTCCCCTGCGGAGGCGTCTATGCGCTGGTTCGTGGAGGCGGAGGCCACGGGGGGGCCCCCGCCGTCCCCTCGACTGTTCCACGCCAATAGGCTCTGCATCACCCGTGACGACCCCCACATCGCCTCCTCTCGCCGTTTTAACTCGCGCAGCCGATCGCGTCTGGCGTACCAGTCCTCCTTCCCCTCTTCCTTTTCCCCTGCTTTACCTTTTTCATGGTTCCCTTCTATTTTCCCCCTTTCCCGTTCTTCCTCGTCCTCGAGCGTTGTTGTCGGGCTGTCCCCGCCGTAGCGCCCGAGGATCTCCTGGATGAAGGTCCGCCCGGCGATCGAGGATCGCGATCGGCGCGAAATGTTATCGGTCGCGGCCTTTTTCGGCGCCGACGTCAGATCGGGGATCTCCCGCGGCGACCGCGTGGTTGTCGCGGCCAGGCCCTTCGCGTTCCCCCCCCTCGCGTTCGCGGCGAGGGCGCGGGCGAAGGGCGCCTTGAGGATCCCCTGCCCCACCGACTCACCGGCGGCGTCGGGGTCGCCGGAGAGCGGGTTCCCCCCGTCCTCCATCCCGCGGCTGGGCAGGCCCGCGACGAGGCCGAGCGGGACCCGGAGGGGGCTCCCGTGCGAGGGGACGCCGCCCGCCTGGGCCTCAAGGAAGGACCCCGGGGAGGGCGGCCCCTCGTCGTCCCCCGGGGGCTGCCGGTCTTGGCCGGGCCCATCGTCGAGGTGCTGTTGTTCTCCGTGCTGCACAGCGTCCCGACGGAGCAGACCGTCTCGAAGTCGTAGGTCCGGCTCGAGGCCCGGCGCTCCGCCGGCCGCCCCGTCACCCGCC